CTTACTCAGGAGAGCCCTTTGTAACGTCGAAAGACGATGGGTGTTACACGTTGGCTGACAGGAAGAGTATTATCGATGTCAAAGAACCGAAACGAACTGCAGGGGTGTTAAATTCGTTATGGGTAACTGAATTGGCCGCTCAAGGCCACCGAGGGACTACCCACACCACATTATCTCTCGCCTCTTTGCTCCACCCATTGAAAAGCGAGTCTTTCACAGTTGGGAAAGTAGCCTCGAGCAGTGGCTGAATTTTGGTCACCGAGAGGAATTTATTTCTGCGGTGCAATTTTATTCTCTGACCCGCAATTTACAAAAAGCATACGTCGACAAAAAGGACTCGTTCCTGGAGAAAATCGATTGGCTCCGAAGGGGGGCGATTATTTGCGATTATTTTACCAAAACGTACAAAGTAGAAAATACTGATTTATAAAATTATTCAAACCGTTCGAGCAAACTGGTTCCTGAATAAATAATAATTTAAATGTGTAAATAGTTACATATTTGCTCCGGAGGATTGATCGGCCTCAAGAGGAACCGTTTCATTTGCGAGCGAAAAATAAATTCTTTGAAATGGAAAAACATTATTTCGATTATACGAGTAGAGAATTCATATTTATGCAGGAGGTTCGGCCACGCCTGGGAAAAATTTTAATGGGAGATTCTAGAGGCCAAAATAAGACGAAAATCAAGAACACCAATTTGTTGATATAGGCTTCGTTAAAAAGTTATTAACGTTCAAAGTTCCGTCTGTAGAATGGCAATTTGTTTACCTACTCGAATTTTTTTCTCGAAAGTGCGTAGAAATTCGGGGATATGTGTGTTGATCAAAAATGATTTTAATTGTCCCCTGCAACCGAAAATAATTTTCCCAGAACGATTTGAAATTTTTTAATTTTACCGAAAAGTTTCAACACTTACTCGAATTTTTTTCTCGGAAGTGCGTAAGAATTTTGGGGTATGTGTATTGACCAAAAATAATTGTTATTGACCCCCGCAATTAAAAATAATTTTTTTAGAACGATTTGAAATTTTTTTTTCGCCGAATTTAGGCAGCTACTCATTCCCCTGTCCATTTGTCTTAAAAAGTCGTTTCTAATTTTTAGTAACTTTGTTTGACGCCCTACAGAAAAGTTGTCTCATACCTTTTTGTAGGTGTCCATGAGCTTTACTTCAGAAAAAAGTTTCATTGAAATATATTCATTATTATAGGAGTTATGGCTGTTTGAAAATTGGACCATACTTATGGGGGTTTTCTCACCTTACGGGGTGAAGGAACAACTTTTTCAATATTGTTAGAATTTCTACATATTCTTCACTAAAATACGCGTTGTTTGCCATTTGAAATTTTAAAATCGTTCAATCCGTTCAGAAGTTATGACGTTTTAAAGATTCGCATAAAATTTCGGGGAACCATTTCAGGCCTCTGATTATATTTTCGGTAAGGAATTTTTTTCTCGAAAGTGGATAGGATTTTGAGGGTATGTCTATTGGCCAAAAATAATTGTAATTGACCCTTGAAAATAAAAATAATTTTTTTAGGACGATTTGAAATTTTTTAATTTCGCCGAAAAATTTGTCCACCTACTCGAATTTTTTTTCTAGAAAGTGCGTAGAATTTAGATGGCATGTCTATTCACCAAAAATGATTGTAATTTATCCCGGCAATCAAAAATAATTTTTTCAGTAGAATTTGAAATTTTTAAATTTAATTTTGTAATAACTTTTTAACGAAGCTCAATCAACAAATTGATATTCTTCATTTTCGTCTTATTTTGACCTCTAGAATCTCTCATTAAAATTTTAGGGGTGGCCGAACAACCTGTGTACCACGAATCATTTCCCTAGCGATGGGATCGAACGAATCCTTGTAATATCATTTGGCCAATGTGTTAAATATCGAATTTATTAATATTTAATACGTACCGAATTAGAAACGGAAGCGAACTTATCGTTGAGCCCAGTACCTCGGAGCTTCGTTCTAATAATAGGACGGCGAGAATCGTTCGTGTCGGCGCTTTTAGTGGTAGTTGCGACGGCCACAAACGTAGGCATTCTAGAATCGTAAAACGAAAACGAACGACGGTCGAGCCGAAGGACTAACCCATAGTTAAGCATAGGTACCAGAACTTTTATCGGCTTTAGTTACGTTACGTACAAACGCTGTCTAAAAGATTTATAGGGGACAGGCATTTCCGTGAATCGTACGTACACGTACGTCGTATTTAAAATAAAAAAAAAAAGAATACCACTAACAGTTTCTGGTTGTTACAACGCTACGTTTTTATATTCTTGTTGTACATAAATCGCGAGATTTATAATAGCGTAACTGGAACGATAGGGGGTGCTATACATATAGTACATATATATATATATTTTGATATAGTTTCGATTCTCGGTTGCTCGAAACGCGATTAGGGTTTCGCGAGCTTTTCTCCTCGATTTACGCTATTTAAAATTAATAATATCGCTAGTTTCGTTCGAATTTTTATCGACGTGTATTCGTGATTTATTCGTATACTTTCATGGCAACGGGGTCGCTGAAACCATTCTGGGGAAATACCTAAAACAGTGAGCTTGGAAAAATTCTAATAACCTAACTGTTGCTATTGTATAAGTAACGAGCTTTTACGTACGCGTTGCTTCGCGACTGCATATATTTTTTATCGAGAACTGCTTTCAGAGCAGGTTGTGTCTCGCGTCGATAGAGTGTATGCACAGTTTTCCTAGCTAAATATCGAATTTATAGGTTTCATTATAGTTCGTGATATAAACTACCCTCCCCGGTGTAGTTTCGTGCAAGGACCAATATGTTCATAGACCAAAGTATATTCGTAATCCAAATTAGTTTCGAACGACGTCTCTAGGAGGATCGAAAATAAGAAAACGTTTTTCGCTTTAGCTGTTTTCTTTTTTTTTTTTTAATTATTTCGCGAACGTTTAACGCAATCTGTGCGCGTAGAAACGTTGATTCTGCTAATTGAGTTGCCCTGTTGGCGCCTACAGTCGGATCGAAGAAAGAATCCATCCGGGAGACCCTTCGACGCACATTCGGAGGGTGGAAATTCATCCGATTCTCTGTTGGGTGATTGGTAGCGACGGAAACGAACGTGCAACGAATCAAATTACAATCTGAACAAATAAACTTTTCTTAACTATTGTCGTACAATGTTTCTACGTCACAGTTGCTCCATCTAGACTCTGTTTTTTCGTTGATTACAAAAATACAGTGTCCAATAATTTGTAACAGATAAATTAATCAGGTAACGAGTGAATAGAAACGGGAGAAAGCAATGTTCTTGATATCTGTTCGCGAAACTTCCCCCACCAAGGTGAATTCTTTCGTTGGTCCGACTATGGGAGCAACAACGTGAGTCTCATCGATGTGCATACACAGAGTTTAGCTGCAACGTCCACTTCTTGCTCACCCTTAATCAAGTGGGCAATGTAAATACTTTGGTATGCGTGTGCCTATTTCGTCTGATAGTTTAATATTGTTACTGTATATATATAAATATATATATAAATATCGTATACTGTACAACTGTACCTTGAATGACTGAAATAAAAAGAAACACGTTAAACTAATTGTCAATTACATGGAATTTTACACGATGTACACGATGAGAACGATTTAAGACGAGTACTTGTTACGAGTATAATTAAATGTGTAATGTATGGCCTGTGCATAATTCTAAATTAGGTACAATCAAAGTAATTTCCGTAGGCCTATACACGTATATACAAAATACACACGCGTATGTAATTGTACGAGATGAAGGAAAGGAAGTTATTCGACCCTAGAAACGTACGTAGTCTCGGGGTAAAGTACTATTTTGCCAGGCAGAAGGTATATTTGATTGCGTTTTATTCTGGCGTACGGCGACATTTGTAACTGGAAACGGAGGGTTTTTTTTATAAAAGAAAAACGTCACTCTTCAAATTAGTATTTTACTCGACTGTGACTACACGCATGTAAACATTTATCGTAACGATATTAAATGGATTGTAAATGAAATTGGAATATTAATATCGTGTTTTTTTATGTGTTTCACCTTCCACGTTGCGTTCCCTCGCTCGTTGCCAAGATAACAATCAACTGGTAATTAAAGAGGCACTCGACCTATTCTATTTATTTATTGCATATGTATATATATTTACAGTGTTCATATAAATAACACGATGTACCGACCATATCGATTCTTTCGCTATCGCGTAAGGATGCATAAACATATTAGAATAGAGTGGCCATGCAATGTGGTGGGGATAGCCCTACGGGTGGCCTTCAGCGGCCAATTTAATCTTCATACGATTTAGCTTCTTTCAGATCAACTTAAACGTCGACGCCACTTGATGCTACGAGACGTTCTATTCCCGCTTTCTTCTTCCGATTTTTCCAAGTAAGTAATCATTTATAAACCTGATACACTTTAGCGTTCCTCGTTACGTCGATGCATCCGTCACGACATTAAATAACACTAATCATCGAGCACCCGCCGGTGCAAATTGAATAGGATACACGTTCTAAATATCTCTATTTACAAAATATCTCGTAGCGTCCATTACTTTTCTTTTCTTTTCTCGCAACGATATTACAAGCCATCGCTGAAAATAAGGGACGCTTCTCAACGGATTCTAACGTTACGGATAACTGTGTATTTTAAATAAATTAATGGCATAATTTATTTCGTTACGTCTAGAATTGAATTGGGAATAATTTCATACGCGCATTTGGTATCTTTCGTTTTCTCACGGAGATGCTGAAGGTACAACGAATGCACAGGATAACAGATTCATAATTATCGCGCGTATCATGTTTCTTATTATCGTTTAAATTACGCGATAAGAACCGTTGCTCCCACGATCAATTATGCGGTGGCGCTTCTTCGCGGGCCGCCTACTTTTGGTATAAACGTCTCGTAAAATATCTCGATTTCAATTATTTACAGTTCAAAGACGCGACGATTGCCATATTAAATCAAATTATTCCAAAAATTTTCTGAATCCCATTCGAATGCAAAATTTGGAAAAGCAAACAATGAAAATTCCCCGAGTCGTCGATACCAAAACGTTTCAGTTAAGCGGGTCTCTCCTTAGCTTTTCTTGGACAGTTCCTGGAAGAAGGCCTCGATCGGTAAGGTGGGCTCCTCGGTCGGCAACTTGAAATGCGAGGCGGCGACTCTGCTCTCCGGGGAGACCGCCTTGAAGAGTCCCGGTTTATCGTAGAGAGCGGAAGCGGAACTGGTTAAATCAGCCACGCTTTGCGAGGCCTTGGCGAACAGTTCCTCCTCCTCCTTCGATTGAATTTCGAACGCCGCTGTGGTGGTCTCCGACGTGTCTTCTGTTCTCGCGGTCGATTCCTGGTCACCGACACTTGTTTCGTCCATTGGACTCTCGTCCACGTTTTTGGTAGTGCTGCTCACGACCGGTTCGGCGACGGGATTTTCATTTTCGACGTGGAAACTCGGCTCGCTTTCGCTCTCGTCCGCGTTCTTAACCTCTTCCCCGTTATCGAGCCTCGCCGGAACGTTCGTGGAAGTAGCTTCCTCTTTTTCAACGGGGATCTCGTTAGCCGCCACTCTGGTAGTCCCCATTGTAGTGACCGCAGAATAGAAACTGGTTTCTTCGGCGGCCATTTCCGTGGCCTCCGCCTCCTTTCTTTCGGCATACGCGGCGGTCGAGGTTTCCCTTTGCGCGGACAGTCTGCTTTTCATCACCGGTCTACGTCTCACCGACGAGGAAAACACGTTCTCTGGTCGAGCTGTGCTCGGTTTCGATTGATTCTCGCCGTCCTGGGACCTGTTAGGGTTGCTGGTGGTCCCGGAAATCCTGCTTCTGTACACGTTCCCGCCGATGGGTCTTCGTTTGGGAACGAATCGATTGGACCTGTCAGTGGTGGACGAAGGAACATCTTCAGCAGCGTATTCCTGATCCTTTGGCGTCAGAGGAGCAGGAGAAGTAGTCCTGTAGTTCACTCTCGACATGTACTTGTATCTGCCAGTCGTCTCTCTAGCCGTGTCGCCATTTTGTTGGGTCTGCTGGCTCTTGTAACTGGAACCTCTCTGCTTCGTGTGAACCGCTGGAGCCACCGAAGCTTCCGTGGTCGAGGCCTGGGATAATCTGCTCTTGTAATCCAACCGACTTTTGTAATCCTTGATGCTGAAACGTGGCCTCGTAGTGTTCCCAAACCTCATGGGTCGGATCTTATGCGTTCTGCTCGTCGACGAGGTCACAACGGGCGCCTGAGTTGTCGATGGAACGGTAGACGTCGTCGTCGGGACCGTCGTAGGGATACTGGAGCTTAGACTCGAGCTAGATCCACCTGTAGAACTTGTGGGCGACGCTACGGTCGCTCTGTCGAAGTAATTACCCTCTGTTTTGATGAACAGATCTTCCAACGGAATATTAGTGACCGCGCCATTTTGTTGGGGGTTGTAGCTCTCGTTGTTAACGTTCTCCTCGATCCTGCTCTTTGTCACTTCAGTATAATAATCCAAAGGCACAGCTTCCGTAGTATCCACTCGTTGCTCATCCACAGTCTTCTGCGACGAATAATCAAAGTGTTGATTATTCGGTTGATTCGTCACGAATTGATTGTACTCGTTGTACCCAGGAACAGACTCTGTCGGTGTCCTGTACGTGTTGATCGGCGCGTGGACGATCTCCGTGACGATTTCAGCCTCGTACGGTTCACCATGGTTCACTCTGTTCCTGTGGCCAGGTCGCTTCCTGATGTTGGCCTTCTTCTCGGTCACGGAGTCCCCGTAGGTCACCTGCGTGGGCTTGATTCGCCTTCTTCGCGAGCTGTCCAGCTGCTGGTGCACCTCTTCAGGCCTGTCGTACCTCCCGTAATCGTCCACAGCGGCCGTGATCGGCTCCGGAGTCGTGGTCGTTGGTCGCTTTCGTCGCAGTTGGGTCCCAGGTCGTCGCGTTCTTGGCTTCTGGGTGGTTGCTGGCGGCAGAGTCGGCGTTTCGGGCGCCAGGGTCGTCTGAACAGGCACCTCCTCGATGTGCAGCGTCACCGGCACCGACGTTTCTGGAGGTTGAATCGGCGCTTCCGTTGGCAGGGGTTCGTACGCCACCGTGGTCGATGGTTTCCTTCGTCTATATTGATCGCGCGATAACTTGTGGGGTCTGTGTGGCCGTATCTCCGTCTGTGGTTCTCGGTAGTTCGCTTCTTCCGGTTGGGTTTTAACGTGGTAATCCTCGTATTGCTGGCTCTGTATCACCGGGGTCTCGGAAATCACGTAGTCGGGCTGGGTTACCTGAAGAAACGTTCGTAAATTATGGTGCAAAACTTGTCGATTTATCGAAAGCAACGTTGAAACCTCGAGACGGTCGAGCAGACTTGCGGTGATTACCGATTAAAGTCTAATTGTTTGCTTAAAACTTCCGGAGGATTTCGAACACACTCGCCGAAGAGCAAATTAACGACTGTTATTTGTTCTGGTCCTGAAAGTTTTAATAGTACTTTGACGCCATTAAAAGTTCCCGGGTAATGATGTTGATTCGGGCAAAAGTGCGATCGAAAACGCGGCAGAACGGCGCCATGAACTCATAATCATCGAGTCGCTTAACGAAATATTCAAACTCGTGCAAATACATAGCTTTAACTTTAACTGAAAAGTGCAAATATTTTGTAGATATGTTTCAATTTTCCTAATTCCTCTCTGCTGTTTCAATTTGACAGAAATAAGAATATTCAAACCTTTTTGAAACGCTGATATAAATATGCTACTTTATTCGGTTTAAAAAACACTAAAATAAATTTACTACTCTCAAAAATTAAAAACCTTCAAAAAAAGCGACAGACTTGGTCGGAGCCCGATATATCTCGGGCAGACGGCAGTTCCATGCATTCGACGCATTCGACGCAAGATTTATCGAACCATACCTGTGACTGTTGAACTTTTGGCAGCTCGCCACGCTCGTAGTATTCCGTGATGGTTGGGGCTGCATCCGTGGTGACCTTGGGAATTTCGTACTCCGCAAACTGGTCCGCGAAAGGCGATTGGCCCTCGACTTTGGCCAGTTGCTCCGATTGGTTCCTGGCGGACTCGATCGCCAGCCTGGCCTCCTCCTCCTCCTTCTGCCTCTGAATCAAATCCCTGAGCTCTTCCTGCCGTTTCTTCAACTCCTCTTGCTGCTGCTTCTCGATCTCCAGCTGCTGTTGCCTCTCCTGCTCGGCCAGCCTCTGTCTGTCCCTCTGTAGCAACTGTTGCTGTATCAGATACTGTTGCTCGTTGAAGTGCTTCAACGATATGCTCTCTGGCGTCTCGTACTCTGGTTGAGCGGTCTCTGGACGGACGTCGATGGGCAACACGGAGGTCTGGTACTGCGGCGGTTGCGCCTGGGGGCCGATGAAGAGCACCTTGGGCACTTGGGGGATCTGGTTCGAGTCTGTCGTTTCCTGATTGAACTTGGACGGCGGATTGACGCGCGGTAGTACCTCGTTGATGTCTGACGCGTACTTGCTCTTGGGCACTGGCCAGGCTGACGGCGGGGGCGTCAGATCCTGTTGCTCAGAGACGTAATACGTGTTTCCAATCCCAGCGGTGGGTAGAACCGAGTCCTCCAGTTGCTTGTTCGCGTTTCCGTGACTTGGACGTTTGTACTCCCTCACCAGGTCGTCGTCGTGTTGGTACTTGGGGGTGGTTGGGGCTTGTGTGGAGGAGTAGACTTCAGGAGGCAGCAGAGTCTCGTAGGGCAGGGATGGCCTCAAGTTGTATCCATTGTAGACCGACGGGGGCGTGATGTAGCTGATCTCGTGACTCTCGTGCACCAGGAACGCCGGATCCCTTTCGTACGACGTCTTGTATGAGTGGGAGGGATGGTTCACTTGGCTGTAGAAGTTTCCAGCGTTGGGGGAGTTAACGATCTGCTCGTTGTGAGACGGCTGCTGGTATTTGTCGTAATTCGCTCGGTGGTCGTGCTCGCTGAGCCGTTTATCCTTGCCGAAGTCGGACGCCAGCCCTGTTCCAGGCGGCTGGAAGTAGGGTTTTGCGTTGCTGGAGACTTTGAGGGACTCGAAAGGTTTGCCTTGGTACCGCGGAGGCTGGAGCATTTGAGGCACGTACGAGTCCGCGTAGTGTCTATTCTTCGTGTTCATCGGCGATGACGGAGGGTTCGTGGTCGAGGCGTAGCCCTTGATAAAATACGTGGCCGCCTTTATTGGATCCGGCGGTTGGTGGAGGCTCTGGGGAACGTAAGGTTGCCGCAGGTAAGCCGCGTTATCGCGTAGTATAGGCTTCCTATGGTGGTCCAGGTCGAAACGATACGCGTCCTTCGGCGGTGGGATCAGGAACATGTACTCGCGAGTCTCTGAGCCCACGTGTTTGTTCAGGTGGTTGTGCACCGGCGTCTCCACCCGCCCCTTTGGCCCACCGTGGCTGAAAACCGTGAAGCTACCTAGTATGCTCGGCGGATTGTAATCATGATGGGGTATCGGTTTGTTCTTCCTTGGTTTCAGCTTCTCGGACGCGGCCATGTGCTCCTGCAGCTTGCTCAAGACAGGATGAAGCGGCGCGTTTCTCTCGAGATTGCTAGACGGCGAGACGTTCGTACCGATCGTCTCCTCGTATCCGTTCGTCAGCGGTCTCCATCCATTTGCGATCATCGACGATCGCGTCGGTGGCTGCAAGAGGGTGATTTAGGTTTGTGGGTAAACGTTCTTGCTCCACTTCCGAGGAGTTAGCCTCGCGGTGGAATCACAGTTATTATAAATTCAACTTTCTCTACGGCGAAATTCCTGTTACGATTTTTTCGCCCGTTTTGAGACGTGTAGAAAGTTTTATGGGGGATTCGGAAACGTTAGCGTTAATTTAAAATTTCTTGATATCGTCGTTTCCGGTCCGTTTTTTAGATTAAATCGAGATAAATGTCTGAAAGTAAACCTTTAACTCGACTGGAGCGTCTTCAATATATGGATGATAGGATTTTCTACTATTGGGGACTGGAAAAATTTAATCTGAAGTCGAGATACTGAGGGAAATTAATTTGGACAAGTACTGAAAGAAATTGTAGGTTATGGTATTAGGGGCGGTGCCAATCGATGAGGGAGATCTTCTTTGCGACAGACAGTACACGCGTGATGGCCTTCTACGTAGCATGCAATTTTATATTTCTTTTTAAACCAGTTATTTTTTAGTTCTAGGTTATTATTATCTATGGAATGATTATATTTGTTATGTATTGATATTTTGAAAGAAAGTGGGCCCTCTCACTCTACGAGGGTTAACCCTTAAGTGGATTATTGGAACTAATAATTATTTAATATATGTTAATGTAATTACTTAAAAATTTCTGTAATCCTCCATTAGTTCATTATTTGTTAAATGCTTTAAAGGAAAGTTGATTTCCATTTACCGATTTGGTAAAAATTAACATTAAGTAAAATAATTCAGTTGAGATTGGGAGTCCACTTAAGAGTTAATGCTATGGAGTTTAAAATTAAAGATTCTATTTTCCTACCATTTTGTAGAGAAGAAAAGAGATGAACGTAATACTTACAGGGTAGTATTGTTAATTTACTTACGGGTTTGTTATCGGAACGGTCTATCGATACTGTGATGGCACCGATGGCGGTGAAAAGCCCCATTGCGAGGACACCTGATTTGCGTAACGGCAATTGTTAATCGTCTGATCAGAAGTCCCATCGCGGGGCATACTTACAATTCAATATAAGCGTCATTGTGACAGACCATGGGACCATTTACGCAATCGTTCTGCAACAGAAAAACGTATTCGATCGTTAGGAGGAGCTATCCGCGTCGCGAATTACGAAAGGAATGATAGACATTAGCAATTCGGTGAGTCAGCCCTCCTCGAGTGCCACTCAATTGTCAGGATACGAGGACAGGAAAAGTGTAACGCACGATGGCAGAGAAAGCGGTATCTATCAGCGTTCTCCGTATCGTTTCCGGTACCATTTTGTCATTTCTAAATCACGGCGAACGGTGAAACTCGAAGGAACGATGGAATTTCTCGTTTTTCCTTTTTTCTTCTTATTTTTATTTACGACTCCGTAATTCACCGACACTTCGAGTTTACAGTCTACTTTTCCCTCGCGCAGTTGGAAAAAGCTCCGGCATTGTGCTGTGATCGATTCTTGACGACTAAATAATGTATTTCCACTTATTCGATCCCATCGAGAAACCTGCCCGCCGTAGACAACGTCCTGAGAAAGGCACGTTTCGTTCGATCTCATCGTACGCTCGGAGAAACTGGATCATTCTCGCCAGATATGGTAAACCAAGCTGATCGAACGTTTCCAGAATCCGTCGAGGCCTCGACGGCCGTTGTCGCGTGCACGTGACTTCGCAATTTCGGTTAGATTCGCGTACAAAAAGAATAATATTATCTTTCAAATATTTCAATCAGGCTCAAAATCTAGAATATAGTATGCTCGCATAGTTTTCTGCCATCGAGGAAGTCAATTTGGAAAATTAATCGGGCACGTGTAGAACAGAATACGACTTGGATATTGGCGCAAGTAGAAACAGCGAGTAATGGACAGACGCGCCAGCCAAGTTGTATTTCATCGGCGATAAATCTTCAAACTCAATTATCTCGAAAGCGAAGCGCCATTCTACAAAATTTTATTCTACGTTTACGACTCGTTCCAGCACGTTGAATCGAATTGACGCATAAAATAGATCCTATCCCATATAAATTATAAATTTAAATGTTTCTATATTGCAATGTCCAGGATAAAGAATACAGAACTATAATTCCATACTTTGTGTGCTGTTTAATACTAGGCTCCCATACCTTGCGTTACATGTTAAAAATCGTTGGAAAAAAATGGCGTTCCAAATGAAATTAAACCGCCCAATCGATATCGGGACATTTTTTACAAATCGAACGCTGGAACATTCGAAGCGAACTGGCGTCAGAGGGTTTGCGCATGCGCGTTCATTATGGGATACGACCGTGGTGCCCCCTGCGCGGCCAAAATCGCCGGTGAATCAGAAAATCAATAGAGCAAGTGCATTTAAATTTCACGCAGATTTCGGTTGAATTAATTACAAGCATTAGCTTGTCCCTGCGTGGACGGTCGCGCTTCTGGTCAACTGTTGGAACGGTTTCCGGCGCGGACGTGTAACTGCGCGCACAATTTAAACTACACGTCACAACGACGGAGTTTCGGAAACTACAGCCGACGAAGTAATTACCGGATCGCGTCTGCGGATTTTCAGAAACCGAACCGAGCATCAGGGACGATTATCGTGGCATTACCTTTTCCCACGAACGTCTATTTTATCGCCATCGATCTTCGCTTTTAAGATCCCTTTGGCCGCTCTATCGGGCGATTACGTACAAAACCGATCGTTTTCCAAAATTTATCGCTCGGTAATTACATTCTAACCGGAAGGAATTTAATTGTAGGGACGTTTAAAGATCAAGCCATTTCTAACGATTTATCCCCCGCGTTTCGACCATTTTGTTTTAGTTCTTCGCTGGGAATATGCGGAGCATGTCCTCCGATGCGAATTCCTAGAATATTCCCGACTCTTATGGCGACCGGACGAAGGGACAAAGGAGAGTCGAAAAATAAAAAAGAAACGTTTATTAAAATATCCGTCCCTTCCGAACGAATAGTTTTCCGGAAAATGTTCAATTTGCGATCGTGACGTGCTGAAGAGGTAGTTTCTAATACGATGCAATTTTATAGAATCGCTAAACCACAAAGCATTTGTCTAAAAGACTTCCTCGCATCGACGATACTTTTCCAATTCAGCGTCATAGCGAAACTTTGAAAGGTAATTTCGTCCCTTATACTTCAATTCTCCCTGGTAGAAAAAGAAACACCTGTTCTTTTGTTTCGAGGTCAGGTTTCAAAGCGACTTACGACTACTTATGCGATATTCTTTTATTCAATGTATGATACGAGGGAACAAGTTCGAAAGGAAGACTTCGCGAAAATTCAAATTCAATTTATTTCGATTCCTTTAGAATTTATCGAAGATCCTGAAAACAATTATATTTGAGGTTTGTGTTTCTGTTTCTAACTTTACTTTCGTCGTAAAGACATCGCGATATAGTAATAATGGTTGAAATTTTTTTTTTTTAGGAAGCCACCCACGTTATGGTTAAACGTACGACGAACTCTTTGTGTTCGCGTTTCTTTCGAGTCTCCGGCGTATTTCCATGCCTTTGTTGTCCACGGCTATTTATCCAGTGTTTCCGTGTCACTACTCTTTAATTTGTCCCTCGCCGTCTATTAATCAGACGCGCGAACCGTGGAGCGCAAAGTGGCGATTTAACGTTGTATTCGAATCTTGGGAATTAACGAGCAAGTCGAACAGAATTCAACGCGTGTAATTGAAGGTAACTGCGCGGTGTTGAAAACCGTTTCCTTTCCGAGCGACTGTCGAGGTCAAAACTTTCATGCGCCGCGAACGGGGGAGTAATTATACCGAGGAGGAAAAAAGGAGAGTGTTGCTATTATTATTACTTTTTAAGGTTACGTTCAGACCAAACGGTTTGTTAAACGCGCTGGTATATGGGCACCGTTTCTAGCCGAGATTTGCAAATCTCTTGGCAACACACAACCCTAAAAAGAAGCAACATTTCTGCGCTCGAAATGGGTGGTAAATTTCAAACGAGCCAAGAATTATACTGTTTTTACTATCATGAGCTAGCGTTGCAAATTTTGTACTCCCCTAATTAGGGGAGCCTTTATTTTCTATTAAAAATTGTTATTTTTTATTTTTATCCTGTTTTGTTTTGCAGAATCGCCTCTTATGGGATCACCATTAGTACTCGAATACCCCGTACGTAACAAGACAAATCTCCAAAAAAGAATTACAACATTTGGACTGCATGCTTCTTCCTTATCCGGTCTACTCGACGAACCTCTCTGCTTCGCATTAACATCTATTTAGAATTCCAGACAACTTTCTCAAAGAAAAGCAACTGGTTAACCACGAAAGTGTGGAAAATACATTCGAAGATTTAATGCGGTAAAGCAACGGACTATTCTTCGAAGGATCGATTAAAAACTGACATCCGATTGTTACAATCCACGGGTAATTATTCGTTATATAAACGCGAGCACTGTTACTTCACAGCTTACAGGAAATAACTGTTATTTTAAGTAATTAAATAATTTCATTATATAAGATATATCATTTTATATATATAAACTTTGGAATAACGTTCCCGGACGTACAAGACTGAAATGATATTTCCCGTGTCTATTTTTACGTCTGACATGCACAGACATCGTCTACTTAATCCACTACTTTTAACTATCAGTTCTATTTAAAGATTACTCTGAGAATTCTTGAGCTTAAGTTCATTGTAGCAGTGTTTTTAAACCTAAGATGTCGAGATCTAAATAAAATATACAGTAATCTAGAGTATTTTCATATTGTAGTACATAGAAATGATTTTTTGCTAAGAAAAAATTCACAGAAGCTTTGCTGAGGGGTTGCTTTCTGTTCTACATTGTATGCTGCACAAGCAGAGCCGTAACAAAGCAGAGGCAGAAGAGGTTCATGCCCCTGGGTGCTATGTTGCAATGGCGCCCTTAACATTACAAAAATCAAATTAATTACTTCGATAAAATAGTAATACTTTATTATATAAATGGTTCTGATTTTTATCTAAATAATGAATATTTTATTCCATCGAGCGAAACAGTTGTGTTTGCCTTGTGCACATAAATAGAGGGAAGAAATTAGGTTACACTTTGCTGCTGCACGGAACGAGGAACAATTATTTTTTAAACTCTATCGTCACGCCTCGCGGATCCACTTAATTTCATCGAATCAGCGACGTTTTGGACACCCTTTTAGCGTTTTCCACTTTCCCGCGTTAATTCCTGCTGCTCTTTTTTAGCCAGCTCGCGTATTCCAGTGCTTCGTCTTTGGTTCCGCGTACTTTAATAACTTTAATTAACTTCGCCGGCTTATTTTTCCGTTCAACAATGGCGTTCAGGGCATTCCCGTCGCGTAATATCTTGATTTCCCTGCGTATATTGGATGTCATTGTTCGATGCCGTGAGAGAGGTGCGAAATTATCAGGGAAAAACGATAATCGCCGCTAGTGACAGTAAAGAAAAGAAATAAACAGGAAAGCAGATAAACCAAAGGACAATCATGCGAGTTTAAACTCCTGTGCAGGGAAGACAGGATACCTTTAATTATCTTTTCGCCGTACACTGTCTTCGGGAACTTTCTACCCGGTGTGCATTTCCGTTTATTAGAAAGGAAGATGGAGGAATCCGATAAAAAAAATAAAAAACGTACGCGCAGGTTATTCGTGCCGATAACGAGACGTTTTTTCCGTCCTTTATACTTTTATGTCTTGAAGCAAGAACAGAACTTTTAACAAGATACGGATCGAACTAAATATTTATTGCCGCTTCCTGGTCGAATTAATGGCGGGAAGAGGTACTCGAGTGGTTAGGAAACGCAATTACCGAGTTCCTTTGCGTTTTTGATCAACGGGACCGCGTGGAAAGCGTTTTATTTATTAATTTCGTTCGAAAGATTCGTTCGACGCGTTGCTTGGGTCGTCTCATTTTAAACAATTGTTACGGGAATAACGCAACCCCCGGTCGACAGGGAAAATTAGTCGTCGCTGAGATCAAACGATATTCGGTAGGATAAAGATAACGATGGAAAATAATATAATCGTTTAAAATATTGTGTCGTGGGTCCCAGACAACCCCCCTGACAAAGTTAGGATTCATAGCAATTTGCATGCTAGTCGTTCC